AAAATAAAAGAAAACCTGACTGTACTCATTATCAGTGTTCATTTGAAGTTCATTCAGTCAGAGTGAGAAACACTATAAAAAAAATATTCTTTTTCTCTACCTTCTATTTTTTTCTGCTATACTAGCGTAAACGGCAGTATCCATTCACGAAGCTATTATAAAATTGGTTCATGCAGCACTGCACATGTTTGCACATATTCAACAGGGGATGGTGTCTTTTGTACACGGTGATAACAATGGGGAGAAAAGAATGATGGCGTACATTAATGACAATAGCCGGTGGCAATGTAACCAAAAAAAAAGAGGGTTTCCAATTCAGTTCAGTCAACAACTTAGAAAGCAATTTCATGACTACTGCTGTGTTGATCTGTGATGTCCAAATGCTCTGTACTTCTGTCGTAGAAATAAATAAATAAAACTACAACTGTAAGCATTTCTGAAAAAATGAATCGTCTATGGTATTATGAAGTTTTACCGGATGCACACATTAAATAAACATAATGCATTTCCTGTATTAGGATGACAAGTCTTGTCAGCCAAAAATATTTTTGCTGGTGTCATGATAAAACTCGTTGAAATAGCAATATGTCATTTTTGAAAAATCAGCTGGATAAGTGAAATTAGAATTATAAGAATTAGATTACCATTGAATTGGCTGCATCTTGAATCGTCAATATCACAGGGTAGCTTAACTGGCCATTTTAACAGTATGCCAATCATACCATACTTGTCATAGAACTGTTTTTGCTCATCACTTTCCTCAGCAAAAATATGCTGCTGATATAGCCATGGTAGCCTATCAGCTTACCTATGCGTTTCTGTTTGAGATGTGCTTCTGACATCTGCATAACTTAAGCGTTATCCAAAAGGTTATTCTCAGGTGGGACATTGACTATATAAACAGTTTGCCATAGCTTTAGCATAATTATCACACTTCAGTGAAAGTGTGTCATCTGGAATTTCTCCAGTTTCAAGCCTTAACATATCTTCAAACAGGCACACTAAACTGTCTCTGTTCGATAATTTGAAAGCGTCCGTGAAACTTCTAAAAAATGATATGATGCCTACTGCAGATGTTTTCACGGTTTTCCCAGACTCGCAAAATTGTTGAATGTTTGTTTCTTGAAAAATAACTAAGTTTGCAGTATTGTAAAAAATCACATCTAATTATAAGCGAGTGGATACGTTAAGTTTCAATGATTTCGAAACACTGATGTGCATTTCTTTTTGGCGTAAAGGTTTGATGAGGGTACAATAGACATGAAATTGAACAGGGACCATTCAAACACAAATTACAATCGCGCATTTTTTATGCCCTGTCTGAAGTGTTTTTCTATTCAATCACTTAAAGAGAATGTCCCTGTACAATTTATAGTTACTTCTCATTAAAATTGGATTAAATTCAATCTCTTTTTGAAGATATAAAACTTTATAGACTTTAGGTGGTTTTTATGTTTAAACTTTATGAAAACTGTTGTGGGGCGGCCGGTCTAAGTCGTCATTTGATATGGGCAGTCTCTATGTAATGTGGTCTAATCTGCAATGGTTCCTGTCCAGTACAGTATCCACACCCTGATGTCAAGAATCAAAGTAATTTACATAATCGGAATATTGTAAAGTTCCCCTTTCTTACTGTGTACCAAAGGGATGAATCAGCGAAACTAAATTTAAGGTAGCGGAATAGTTTTTTGGGCACTTTTTACATTTTTTTTTTAAAATCACAAGCATAGCTCCATAAGGCATGCCACATACGTTAGTGTATTTATTTTATTGAAAAAATAATATCTTGTACAAGTAAACTGTTTTTTTTCTTGTGTGCAAACAAATACCCAAGTTTTTAGCTCCGCTGTCGACTTTGTCGAGCGGAGCTTATCATATGAGTGATTGTCCGTCGTCGTCCGTGTCAATGTTTTACTTTTTCGACTTCTTCTTGAAAACTACAAGCCTAAATGCTTTGATACTTGGTGTATATGTACCTTGGGTAGACCTCTCTTAGGTTTGTTCATTTCATGTTGATATCTTTAATTCTCTAATTATGGTGAATATTTTTGTCATTTTTGGTAAAAACTGATATTTTCGACTTCTTGTTAAAAACCGCAAGTGCAATTGCTTTGATACTACATATATAGGTACTACATGTGGACCTCTCTCAGATTTGTTCAGGAGCAGTGCGTATGTAGTGATAATGCCAAGGTACAGAATTGTCCTCAGTATCTTCAATGTTAGCTAAACTCAAAATGAGGTTATTGTTGTTGGAAGACTCGCTGATGAACGAGAAATTGTCTCTAGCATTTGCCACATCAAGAAAGAGGTGGATACAATTGTATTTTCCTGGTATGTTTATTTCTAAAAAAAAAAAAATCATATAAAAGATTGTAGGGGTCCATATAAACCCAGTAACACCCCTGGATCTGTCTATGTTACACGTGTTAAATCCAATCTTGCGTTCCAGTATAAACTGGGTTACATGATTATTTCTTGAGTTGGAACGCTGCTGTGGGTCATTAAGATTCCTTGGCTAAATTACGCTGTATTGAAGCGAAGCAAGACAGGATTTGTCTTCCTTCCTCCTGAGATTATCTCTTGTTGACAACCACCTTGACATATCTTGACAAGCTCTATTGATTTTCAAGAATGTTTTTTTTTTTGCATAGTATGCAAAATATTGTATCCTTAATTGTCTACCCCATAATACTTATCAGACTGAAACTGATTTTGAGTCTAAACTAAAACTAAAAAATAATCTAGATGCTAGGGAATTGCATTGAAAATCGCTGCCGCTTGATTTTGATTTATGCATTGCTGTATTTTCTTTTAGTATTAAATGAGCTCATATGCTGTTCTAATAGTAATAGTAATAGAGCATATTTTGCAGTTGAAAATAGAAAAATCTCATGCCCTGGTAAGATTGAGCTCTTTCATTTGTAGTGTAAGGAAGTTGTACGCTTTTGAAATATATAAAACAGTACATAGTCTTTAAATGACAATTTAGATAAACTGTATGAGGGCAGGGTGGGGTCACATTTATTATTAAACAATGATAAATTCTAAGACGTTATTATTTACACCATTAATCTCGATCACTATAACTTTGATCCTGGAGTATATTTATCCATAGATAGTGCTTCTCGATGATGACTTTGTCATAACCAGCGTAATCTCGTATCAATTCAGTACAATGCAAAATACAGACGTTTCTATGCTGTGGTCCCATGGATTGCCAGCCTTGCCTTCAATCTTCCTTGATAAACCATATGCTAATACTGTAAAGTGCTTATTTTTCACTGCTGCAAATGCTCATGATTTGATGCTTTCATCACATTCATGAAGGCAGTTTCACGACAGTCGCTGACACTGCGTGTCATTATGAGATTCTCGCCGCTGCATAATTACGTGATTTTCGCTGATTCGCAAACATTTCTCACAAAATTAAAGCTGGTTACAGTACATTTTAGACCCTGCATTAGAATTTCTTTTTTCATTGCTGACACCCGGCAAGTGAAAGATTTGTAATTATCAGTCATGGTACCCCCACAAGACATTGGCAATGTTACCCAAGTTTGCTTGGCTCCATTGAGAGCGATAACACTCAAAAAGAGACAATGTTTTGGCTCCATGTCTGTCACTGAGTTAAAGAAGCTTTATCTTGTGCGTGATTGATCTGATTGAAGGAACGACCTGAACAACAAGTTGTGGACTTTACCTAGTCGAATAACACCCTGAACAAAAGTTAGCAGACTTGGGGATACACAGGGATCATATTCAGTATTGAATAGATAGAACAACTAAAGCCATAGCGTGTTATTTTATACCTGCTTTGCACTCGCAAGACAAGTGGGACAAACCAGGCAGCATTGTCATACTGATCATAAGCTTTGCGGTTGTTAAAGTGGAAGTCGGCAAAACAAGCATGCATAACAATGAAGGCGAATAGGGGACTTCTTTTGACGACTGGTCATGTGAGACTGGGTAGGGAGAGCCATTAATTCTCTGCGTTGATTTATCATGATGTATTTGCCCCTATTTTCAGTTTTTGTCCCGGGCTCTATCATCCCATTTCTCCATGGGAACGTTTCCTACAATGAAATGCCATCGAGCACCCCAACGGATAGTTGGTTGTTTGTTTTTTTTTGTTTTTTTTTAAATGATGAACATCCCAGGCTGAGCGATGTTCCAAAACAAGGCCATTTAACCTGCGATAAGTCACAATTCTTGCAGTTCTGGTACTCCCCACTTTTCAATTTTGTAAAATTCTGTAGCCAAGAGTGATGTGACTGTTGTGCTTGGTAATTGATTTTATCCATCCGGTAGTGAAACCTTTAAGACGTTCTAGTTTGACAAACTCATTACTACTTATTTTTTTGAAGTCGTAATTTACATTTCAAGATTCTTGTAAACTCTCTTTATTGCTAAAATGTTTGGTCATGTGACTAACATATCACTTAACAGAGTGGTCGTGTTTTGAAAGCCACTTTTGTGGTCAATTAGCGAAAATAAAAACCTTGCTTATTTGTAAGTTTCACTGTATATATTAACAGGATGAATTATAAATTTTGGCGCCCCCCCCCCCCCCCCCCCGAGTAAAGATTTAAAAAATGAGTGGCAATAGTAAACAAGAAATTGTTAGCTTGCTTTACAATTGGTATAGCGCCCTCAGTAGCTCTTTTGTTTTGTTTACATATGTATGTCCCTTGTGTTGTTACAAGGCGCACAAACACGTTATGATTGGTTCTGCCTTTTTACATGCTTGCTTTCAATTATCATAATTAGAAATAATTTAAAATTGCACGCACTGCATGTTGTCTCAGAATTATCAGGTCTGATTGATCCATCAAACTTCTGCTTCATGCTATCGTGTGTTCCAAGATACCAAGTTTCAAAAGTGGATCCTGTCCTTACTAAATCCATTCTCGCATTTATAACTATTTGTCTTTTTAGTTTACATTGCATTTTAAATATGCATACATTTTAAATATTTTTTCTTCTTAATTTTATCACAGGCAGAAGGTGATGATCCTCTAAAGAAAGGACAACTTATGGAATTGGCGATACTCAACGGAACATTTCGAGATAATGGCGCAGTACAAACTGGTGGTGAGTATTTTTAATATTTTCCTCACTCTGCTTATTCTGCAACCAATTAGATCCCTTGTCTTTTGGGCGGAACAGTTGCACATGTGCAATGCTTTCTGATTGGTTGCCATTAAATAAACAAAATGCATATATTGCTTTCTTTATTTTAAAATTGGTAGTCTAGCTGTGTTTGTGTAACGAGGTGTCGCGCTCGGCATAGTATTGGATAAACATCTTTAAAAATACTAACCCAAATAAGTTAATGATCTATGTCTCTTTGGAAAATTTGTTTTCTGCTTTTTCTCGGGTAAAGGTTAGAATCGAGAAAATGTCCCGAAGCTTACTGCTGCTACTTTGACCTCCTAACCAAACACTTTGTTAAATAGTCGGTAGAAGATGTCAGTTGTGTAGCTTATAAATTTACTGGATTGAGGTAAAATCTTTTGAAATCAATGTGCCTTGAGGCAACCAGGTTATACTTTTCACTCTATACCTTGTTTGATTTATTAGAAGCTTGCCTATCTCCAATAAAAGTGTCTATGTGAGAAAGCTGGAAAGTTTCTTTTGACCCTCGTAACCAGTGTTGACTGGGGATTTGAGTGTTAAAAATTCTAATACAGAATCGTGTATACGAGACTGGATGAATGATACAGTGTGTACGTCTTTTTGAGAATAATAAACTGGTTTATTTCATGGTAGATTATTCAAATTTTATCACTGACATACTTCTGTTAATGTATACGCATCTAATAGAACAAATATGGTACATGTATTTAGAATTACTGCAATGAAGTTTATTAATATCCAATGTATTCTTCAATACTTTTAGTCCCTGCAATGATGCCACAGACGCCGATGATGCCACAAGCCCTACGCTCTCCAACGCCGGCAATGCATCCACATATGATTTCGTCAGCACTCCTGCCGCGTATGATGAACGGTCAAGCCTTAATTGCTAATGGTTTGCATCAGACGTTATTACCACACGATTCTCCTCTTGCTTATCCGCACTACGAGTCGTATCCCTATGCAATGTCGCCTGCGCTACTTGAATATCCAGTCGAAACTGCAGCTACCATTGGTAAGTACTGGGCAACCAGCTGATCCTGCAGTGAAATTCTCTCTGCTTGCATGCCACCAATGAAGGAGATGCCAACCAGTGAAACCAAATGAACAATCAAAACCAGTGTTTTTTTTTTTTGTTTTTTTTTTTACTTTATATCAGGGACTTTGTACAGCCCCCTCTAGTGGTCAAACTCACAGATCATGTACTCTTCCTGATTCAGGAGACCACGTACAATTTTGCAACAACAATCAGTGATTTGTGTAATCAGTTTAAAAAAAAAAAAAAAAAGTTGTACATTTACAATTGTTATTCAATTTTGTGTGAAAAAAAAAGCTCAATCGTAAGTTGCTATTGACAGTTTGACCACATACTGGGAAAGCTGTGTTTTGGGAAACAGGTTTTTTTGTTCTTATTATTTGGACAAGAATGTTGCTGCGAGAGTTTTTAACTTTTTCCGAAAAAAACAACAACAACAACAACATTATCTCGCTGGTTTTAAGTGGAGCAGATTGTTGCTGCCATTTTGCATGTCAGACCTTCAATGGTTCTATAATTTCAATCACGCAATAATAATTATTCAGTATTTGTGCTACCTGTCATCTCTTGCTCGTCAAACCAACGCATGTGATATCTAACTAACAATTTTTTTATCGTCCCACTCGTGATTAACGTGGCAATTTTCTCTTCAGTTTTGAATAACAAGTCGTACAATCAATCAAGCCTAACAATACACAGTTTACAGTTTTAATTTCATGTTTTGCTTTTTTTTTTTTTAAATAATTGCAATTATCACTTGTCATTTCATTCTGTCTTGTTGTTGGTATTTTTTTTCCAGCCTTTTTTTTTTTTTTTTCTGAATTTTGTCCCATCCCCCATCTTTTTTTTTTTGCGTAGAAACTGTTCATGCTTAATTTTACGCTTATTTTTTTCAAGTATACATGTTTTTTACTCAATTGTGTGCTTGTCAAAATTAATTTCTTTGCTTTGTTCTGAAAGTCAAGCCTCTCGGGAATTCCGGTGACTGACAGGTAATATAACCAATCATGGACTTGTATTTTGTCACGTGACTGACAGTGGCCAATTGAGGAGCTTGCATGTGTGTACAGGGTGAAGATGTTGATTGGTAGCTTAGCACGAGTTAATCAATAGACAGTCTTAAATGTCATCATTTGACCACCTTATGCTGATCGCTTTAGATTTTTTTTTTTTTATTGGCCATGACATGTTGATATGAAATAACATAAAAGTGCATTTTATTTATTCCTGTTAAAGCAGATCAGTTCCTAAAGTTGTTCTACATGTTAGCTTGTATAAAAGGATTTTTTGTCTAATCGGATGAAATCGATATATAAAGAAAAGTTTATCTTGGATCATAACACTAATTCCAGAATGGCTTTTATTATATATGAAAAGACAAAAAACAATCAGAAATGTATAATACCTTAGTGGTCTTCTATGTAAGCATTTATCTTTTGCAAGGCTGATTGGGTTTGATCTGCTAGCTGCTTGTAAATGTTCTGGAAAAAAAAGTTCGGAAATGTTTAAATTCAATTCCCTTCCACCATATGTGGGTAAAACTAACTTGTAAACTGTGGCATTGTTAGGCTTTTTGGTTGCACTGAGAGAGACGTATGGGGCTTTCGTTTCTTACCGTTATCATTAATCGTTGGCATGACGATATTCTATAGGTGCTGTTCCAAAATCGAGGCGCTTTGTCAGGGACCACCCTTACCAGAGGGCAGTCCTTGAACGAGGTTAGTTAACTTCTCTCACCATACCTTATTTGGAAATCCATTTACATATACTGCTGACTATGAGGCTTGCGATTATTTGGTGCCCCAAACAAACAGACGTGCAATATTGAGATCTGGGAATTTTTTTTTTTATATATATATTCTGAATGTTATTGCCGTTTATTTGCTTAGATAGACTCTAATAGAGTTAACACCATAAGTTTTAAAGCTGACTGACAAATTACTAATCTAAGTTTTTTTGTTTGTTTTTTTTGAAAAGGAAACAAATCACCAATATCTTAAAATACAGTTCATACCAAAATATCGCAAGTCCTCAAATCTTGTATATTAACATCTCACCATACATTATTCTGCATTTAACAACATCATAACATTTAGCACTGTGTGGAAATGCTTGGACTTAAGTAGTGTTACCAAATCTAAAAAAACTGTCAATCTTTCTTAATCCTCATATTTCATTCCTCGCAACAACAACAAACAAAAACTAATTTTTCTTGTCTCTTCACGACTAGGGACAATCACTTCCACATTGTGTTGTATTTTGTTTTCTACATTCTTTTTTTTGTTATTTTTTTTTTCCTCCCTTTGAAATTGAATACAGATTAAGCATAGTGTCCAAGGCAAGCCCAAGTAGTTTTAGTTGTAGCAGTGTCAATAAGTGTGAATACTTTTATAGACATACCTATATATATTGTAAGGAACTTTTTTTTATACTTCAATCTACTCTATATTTAAAGAGAAGATTTTTTTCAAGCTTATTTAAAGAAGAAATATATATTGCAGGGAATTTATTTAAAAACAAACAAAACGAAGATGATAAAAAAAATAGAAGAAAAAGGATATTATACGTGTAGTGTACTGTACTGTGTAGTTGGTAGTGTTTTGTTGTCATGACTATTGGGCTTGTTTGGACATATGCTCTTGTTGAACTACAATTGAAGTATTGATTATCTGTTATTGATTGTATTCATGTTGTATATTGCAATTATTTTGATGTAGTATCTAGTGTATGACTGTGGTTATTATTAAAGTCTTGTTTCTGTATTTTTCTTATTCAAAAGTGGGGAAAACTTAAGGGAAATTTGCTTTCTATTGAAAAGAAATTAAATCAAAGCATTTGTGTGTTTTTTTGTTTTTTTTAAAAACAAAAACAAAACTTCAATCAAGCTTTTCAGGGTGTAGCAATATTCATAAATAGTATTTTAGACAACTTTCGCTTTTTTGTGTTGCTGGGGAAAAAAGAAAGAATTTTCAATATTTAGTGGGTCAAAGTTCAATGGTGATTTGAATCATTATTTTAAAAGGCCAGTTTAGTATATGAATTTGATATCCTTTTAAAGTGTGAAGTCTCCTTGTCATTTTTTTGCACCCCTGAAACCAAATTGAATGAAAGCAAAATAAGTTGACAATGAACTTTCACAATAATTCTGAAAGTAATTTCCATAATTAGTAAATGGTATGTTGAAAAGAAATGTAGGCATTTTTCTAGCCATTAGTATCAATTTTTTTTTAAAAGAAAAAGGTGCAAAAAAAAAAAAAAGAGAATGAAATGTATGTATATTTTTGAACTTTCTGTGTATTTTGTGGTCCAATTGAATGAATAAAGTATCCAGAAGAAAAAAAAATGTATACAAATGTTGAGGTCTCATTTCAGTTTGTTTCGATCAGTGTCTAAAAATGTTAATTAAGCTAACCAAAAATCTTCTAAAACTGATATTTAATAATAATAATAATAACAACAACCAAGTAATAGTATCATGTCATAATTAATTAGTATGGTTATTAATATTAATTAAACTAACATTTCATTAGTTTTGTGTACGATTAACCTTCATGGCAGTGTTTTCAAAATGTTTGTTGCTCTTGCTTCAGCAAATTAATATTTTTAAAGAAATGTTTTCCTGTCTTATTTTGTGTGGGTGTTAAGGTAGTTTTATCATTAGTTGCTTTGTATAATGATTATAATAATATTTTGTGTCACACATGTTTTGCTCAATGTTGATTCTGACAATGTTGGCTCTGTAATTCCCTTATATGATAATTCCCTTATATGGTATTGTCCAGTATATGCCGCATTAATTTACAATTATGTTATACCTCAATTTTTTCCATTATAAAAAATAATATTTTCTGAGGTACACAACTTTGAGTTTTTCATTGTTAGTGAATTGTTCTCCCCCCATGATGTACAACCTTTTATGGGGGTGAAACCTACAACACTTGACTATGTTTGATGCTGTTAGAGATTTTTTCAACATCAAACAAAACAAATTTGTTTCTGGCTGTCTACATGGGACTCAACACAATTTTTTATTAGTTGCCAATTGGATGAAATCTGAAAACCGGGACTTGTGGAGTGAACTCCATCCATGCGTCTCTGCCTGTATCTTGAACATGCCTGGCCTGTTCATATTTGAACTTCACATACAAATATGCACATTTATTTGTTTCATGATCCAATACAAAAGGGCTGGCTGGTGGTCATTTTTTTTTTTTTTTAATGAATGGTTTCAGATTCGTATCTTGGACAATCGCATTTATACTTCATGCATACATTACATTACATCGCACATATACACATGTGTTCATTCGATGGTCGGATTCAGGATAGCTGTATGGCGGCCATTTTAATGTTAAGAGTGCATTAGAATCGAACATTTCTGTCATTCCTGAAACCATATGGCTCTGAACAGTACTTCATGCTGTTTATGGGTTTCATCAGCTTTCAACAGTATACTGTTGGTGGATTTCACCAGCAACCTTTCAATGTTAATGGCCTATATCTCCAACACAGATAAAGCTGATGAACAGTTTCTACCAGCAGCAGTTCAACCTGATAGATCTCTTTAGATCTTGTCTTCAAACCAATACATCAGCATTGTGAATAAACTGCATGCAAATCTAGTGACAACATCAAAGTCATTGTTATTGCAAAATGTGCAATATCTTCGAGGTCGTTATTGTTGCAGCATGTATCAACACTGAGGTGATTATTGTTGCAACATGTGACAACACTGAGGTCATTATTGCAAAACGTGTGAAAACATTGATGTCATTATTGTTGCAACATGCAATATTATCAACAAGGTCACCATTATAGCAAAACGTGTGTGCTTGCAAAATCATTTCATATAAAAGCTTCATATCTTCTACTATACTCTGCCATGATTGGTTCATATTTATCACATGATCATCATCTTGCATGCTTTATAGTAAGTGTATCTACAAGTGGATAAAAGTAGTCAATATTACCAGCAGACTTGTTACAAAGTCTTTCATTTTGCCATTATGTCGGTACTAACCAAGATTTTTTTCTTTCTTTTTTTCCTCTGATTTTTTTGTTTAATTAACCCAGCTGCCACTGGCAACTAGTAAAGCCACTAACCTAAGCATCACTGCACAAGTACTCTCCACGTATGTTACTGTCAAAGTCCATGTATTGTAATCAACGCTCTGCGAGGTATGCATCTCAGTACGTTCCATTACACGTGAGTGAGCTCCATCTCCATAGTTTTTGCCTACCTTCCTCCACTCATACCTAGACGCCCTGCAGATGTCTATCTCAACACTGTGGTACTAACAGATCAACGGATTGAATGCTTGTGTAAGGTGATGGGCTTCCTTGTACATATCTCCTTTGGATGCTGCTGATGAGGCTGGGGGTGAAGAGTTGTTGTTCTTGTTGCATTTGTTTATAGAAATCATTAAAAACACTACCTCATTGAATGTCTTAAGAACTAAGTAAACTTCTCAACAATGTATCCAGTGAAATGTTATCATTTACTAACTTGTAACAGAATTAGCCCAGCCTGTGGCTTTTGTTATTGTAATCCACTGACAAATGGTCCCACCCCTCTTTGAGCTTATAGCTAATGTAATAGCATCATTAAAAACTTCATGTAATATTTTTTTTCTCTCTCTGAGATAGATGGGCATGATTATTTTCTCAAGATGGTTTGAAATGTCAAGCATCGGCAACACTATTTACTGTGCTGTAAAAACATGAAAAAGAACAGATTTCATATTTTGGTATTTTTCAAACCAGAGTAATTATTAGAGAGAAAATCCCCATGCCCTTCAACTCAAAACTGTGCAGGTATGAATGTTATAACATATTTGCACCCCGCCCCTTTTTTTTTTTACATCTGGACTTCAATGAAAGTGTATTAAGTGCCAAAATCTGGTCATAGTGTTTGGTTAACTCCAAACTGTATTTGGCCAGCAAATCATAAGCAGCCAAAACGTTTAGACTGTCCTTGCCCCCTGCCTTCTGGACATCACAAGGAAAAGAAAAAGGGTACTTTGAAGTATTATGAGAAAGAAAATTTTTTTTCTCAACGTGTGTACGTCTTGTGCAGTGACAACGAAGCTCTCAGGGAAAGAATTCCAACAGCAATAAGGTTAGTGGATGCAGTTACCATGACAACATTAAGATGTTCACGACCGTGATGACAATGGCTGACAAGAGGTGATTTTCTTATGAAGAGGAAAATGCATTTTTTGGTGCCGGATGTGATGCCAATATTTCACTGTAAAAAAAAAATAAAATAAAAAAGGTGATAATTTTCTGGTTGACTTTGCTGAAATTGGATTGCTTTATGGATTGTTTCGTATTCCTAATGAGATTTTCACTAATATAATTGCATTGTAATTTTTGTTTCAACTTTTCATGTTTGAAGCTCACTGTCAAATACATCAGAATGTATGTTTCGTGACAGTTCTTGCCACTTCTTGTATTTAATCTCGCTATATTGTTTTTTTTGTTATTGACAGACACTTCCATTTAAGGTGGATGTAGGAATTGAGGCTGATTTGTTAATGCTTGTTTCTTTCGTTTTTCTTGACCTTGCAGTCAATGGTTTTGTCCAGTGATTGCCGATGTTTAGGCAGAGGGGTCACTTGTTTCCCAGGGGAAGTCTTATTTATCTATGCAAATTATCTTTCACAAATATGGTAGAGATTACCAAATATGGTCATGCAGGTGCTTCTTTGCATAAATTCTTTCAGATAATTCAAAGACATGGTGGTTTTTGCCCGCCCTTACAAGTATATTTATGCGGACAAACTATTTCTTCAAAATATTAAATCTCTGCAGCATATTTTTAGTTTATTTTACTATTTACAATTGTTTTTATTTTGCATCATTGCCATGACAGCATCACTCAAATCGTTTTTCACAATATCACACCAAGTCTTTATTATCTGATGGTATTTAAGCATAATTTATGCAAATTAGGACAAAATGCTGAGGCTATGCAAAATACTGTTCTGATTGGATGTGCTCTGTGGGCCAAACCATTTTACAGGGGTACAACGTTGCTAGACGATTTACATGAAAACCCTAATATTCTATGTACATTTCGTAACCCCCATGACAAATGATTGATTCCGTGCTCCTATCCACACGATCAGTAGGCAAGAGCAGGCAGATTTTGTGCATGCATTCTATAATGAAATTCATTGAAGCAAACTTCTGAGCATAGATTTACGGCAGTATATTAACAGTCAATACTTTAATTTGGGCACAAGATATTAATGTACGAAGGACTCGTTGTCTCAAAAGCCGCAGTGAAATATTCACTGCTACATTTTCCTGACTTGCGAAATTCATAAAGTTAATTGTCCTTGCTATCTATTGGAAAGAGCACCATTTTGTACAAAAGCCCTGCATCAACCATTACACCAAGAATTTCCTGACATTAGGTTTATCATGACAACATGATAGGATAGGTCCAGGTCAGCTGTGCTATTATGAATAGATGTTGTGAACCACACGCTCATTGCGGGGGATATGTCAGTCTCGTCTCGTTCAATACAAGTTGTACAGTGTTTCATCTATTAAGAGGCCCGTTAACTAACTTAGGTCAACTGCCGTCAGCTTTCTCGGTAATGAGTTTGTAGTGAAATTCTTCTCAAAAAACTTCTCCAAATATTCGCGAATACATTTGATGCAAGTGCTGAGAAAATATTGGTCTTGCCTTCGAAATATTTATTTGCCAACTTTGGGATTATCGTGCATGGCAGTACACAGAGCATTGTAAACATTAAACTGCCAATATATTGCCTGAACAATTGTGCCTTCCGGTTAATTAATCCTATAATAAATTAATGACAATTGGTGTATTCTTGTTTCCTGTTCCTGTCAAAACCTGTGGGGTTTTTTTCTCTCCTATTTATATATTTTCGTGCATTTCCAAATTGTTTACGTATTATGCATTTGTTTTAGATATTTATTTCACCGTGCAAGCAACTTTTGCTTTATTTGAAGTTAGTGGTTGTACTAGAATTTGATGTTGTCAGACTCTTTGCTATTAGCCTAACACCCCAAACACCACTTGTACAGTGAAGAGCTCCACCAGTGGTGAATTATGAAAGTGCCACCAAAAGGTGACAATTTGATGTACTTCCAAATCCTGCGACAGTTACTTAATTTGCTTGTAGAAGTACTTTTTTTTTCAAATATATATATATTTTTTGATTATAAACAGTATTAAGTTTTGTTGATAGTGAGGTCATGTCAGCCTTTCATTGGAAATTACTATAGCAATTTTGAATGAATGCACTTTACGAAGTGCAAAGTTTTGAATACGCAACGATATTGTATTTTTGTATAATTCTTACAATATTACCATCAACTTTATGTATTAACCATTCTACATACAGCTTGCTGCAGGCTGCATTTTAGCCATGTTACCGTAGAAACAGTAGTTTGCGTAATTGGGTAGTTTAAGAGTGCATTTTACTTAAGTTTTTTTTGTTGGTTATTAAACTGCTGCCTACATTTTTCTGGCTTTGGAATTCAACGAAAACTAGGCTGAATTTCTTACAATTGTATATTACTTAGGGGGAGGGGGAACATTGTAGTTTAGCGGGTGGTCTTTGGAGCAGGTATATTTCTGTAGTGGCAGAGGCGGTTGTTTCTTGTAGATATAGTAATGAATTATTACAACTTTCTTGTGTATCATATTTAGCAATAAAATGGCTGATATCGTGCCCTGTGTTGTGGTCTCCTAATGGGCACCATATGGGGTAGGTATGTGTGGTCTACAGCAAATGTATGGGCTGTTACCAGAGGTGCTATCCAGTGTGGGAGGGGAGGAACACCCCTCCAAGAATTACCATGACTTTTTTTGTGGTTTGCAGCCAAACAGCTTGGGGAAAAAACTACAGGTTTACAAATTAGAGATTTTCTCTCAAATCTTGGGTTCTTACAATTCTCAAAATCAAGCAATAAATAAGATAAGATATTTTCAAAATGTCAATAATATCAACATATTGTAGTGATCTCTACATTGGCACAGACTATTCAATTTCGTGGAATTTGGATATTCTGGGAATTCTGTTTTCCTTCGCATTTTACATTCAGCTCCGCTGTTTGTACATTTTATTTCGTTGCTACGCATTCCCGTAATTTGTCTGTAATATCAGCGAAAAATGAATAGTTTGTCTCAAATTTGACAAAAGGTAATCATTGCAATACAGAGTTTGATCTTATGCATTTAATTTCTTTTTCTTGAAAAAAATATGTACTTAATAATTTCTAGAGTTCTTCCAAAACCAAAACGAAAAAAACAAAAACATTGTATTAAATTAAATTGTACATGTATTATTTTCCTAAGTAGTAAGTCATGTAGTTTTTTATACAATTATTAAATCTGATTGATTTGATAGGAATATACAAGTTGTCTTTATTTACCCCAGGTGCTCTGATTTACTTCAGGTGCAGTCTTCAGCTAAATTCAAATTAGTTGTAATTTGAATATTCAAATTGGTGGTGACTGCATGTATTTTCTGGATGAAAGTAGGTCCGAGATTTGGGTGATTTAGGTTGCCTGATCGTTAAATGAAATAATAAAATTGGATTAGTGACCACCTGCTTAAAAATTTCGCTGATAGACCAATGTCTGATTGAGAAAAGTCACTTTACCCCTAATAGTGTTCAAAGTTTTTTTAGTGTTTTTCAGTGTTTAAATGGATATAATGTGCGTCCACTCGTATGATCAGATCAAAATGGCTTCAATTCAAGATTCTGAACAATTCATGTTGAACCCAACCCACCCCCCACCGACCACCCCCCACCCCCCACCCCCGCTCGAATAACAAAAATTAGACTAATTCAGGTCATTACAAGGTAAGTTTATAGTCATTCACAAAGAGTATCCTTATACATTTATTGTGTGTAAATTTATGCTATGATTTTCTTTTCAATTCTGGTTAACCCTTGAATATTTTGATATTCCATAAGGGGTTATTGTGTATAGAGAGTAGGATAGGATAGTAAAAAATAGTTACATTGCAGTGAAAACTACTCCTTGAACCATGCTGAGTTATTTATAACAATAGTTTCTCTAATTTCAGACAGACCTGACAAGATCTCGCACATTTTTTTTGCGAAACCAATATTTTTGAGAACCCCTAAAATAATATTTGGTTAAAGTAGTGATTGTGCAAATACATTGGCAGTCTGTTGCCGACAGTTATTTTTAGTTGCGAACAAGAAATGTATGCATATTAAGAGGGATGTGTGTAATATTGTTGGTGCTGAATAGCTATTAACAAAGGCTGCAGACCTGGGTATATAGAGCAGAAATGCAATTCGCCAAGATTGGAGAGGCTTGACTGCTTCAATCTAGTATGTGTAAAAAAAAATCATGTTTCCCGGTGTATAGTGCCTTGAATACAAATAACCAGTTCCTGTAGAGAGAATGTGTATACATAAAATATCTATTTCGGAGTAGTAACGTAAGATAATTTGAAAAATAACATTGTTGTGTTGCAGTATTTGATCACTAGAGGGCGCATTTTCACTCTCCTTGTTTGTTTCTTCATAGCATGACGGGTGCGCCACATCTGTAATATCAATGTCAGCTGAAATTAGTGGTTACTATAGTACTACTAAAAAAATGTTGATGGGTATATTTGTTGGTATACCTTACTTACACAACCTGACGATGAGGGCATTTACTAAAAAAAAGACCAAATTGGACCAAAATGTATACCCCCATCTTGGACCATAATGGTCTCATGCCACTAATTAACCAATGGCCAGCAAGAACCAATGAAATTTTTTAAATATTATTTTTCTCAGGTGCTCCCTGTTTGAGGGCGTAATCACCTGGGTCAGAGGTGAGACCAACATGTGGTCTTTTGTTTACTACTTAGCGGCTGTGTACCTGTGGGTTTATTCTGTGTGTTAATGGATGTTCTAATCTTGGTGTTTTTCCAGTGATTTCTCTTGGTGCAATCACAGTCCCTCTATCTAGAGGGACTGTGGTGCAATCCAAATACAGTAGGTGTGTCTTGTTTACCTGAGATTTGCAAGAGTTTGAGCTGGCCAACATGTTAGTTTTTTTCATATGGTTGATTACTGGCATGTTGATTTCCCATTTTTGAGCCATATTTTCAACTTTCTTCGTCATTTTCATATAGCAATCTCGTCATATGTTAACATTGTCGTCTATGGAAATTCAATTAGTGGTATGAGCCCTAATGTTGTCTGGTAGACTCCATTTTAGACCCGCCATTTGTCCAGCAGACCCCATTTTGGTCTTGGCATATTAAAAGTATTGCATTCTGGGTACATTCCATCAAAACTATAGATACAATGTAGCTGAATACAGGGAAGTCTCCAGTTGCCTAAATGGGAGATACTGAACGCAATGTAAGGTCAAAGGGGACACACACGGCATAATATGTTTATCAAAAACATTTGAAAAGTCCGAAAAATAACACGAAATGCACAAAACAAAATTAAAATGGTATTTGAAAAAATAAACCCCCTTTTTAGACCCATGTTAGACCAAATCCCTAAATTTTGTGGATCCCATTTAAGACCAGATGACTGAAAAAAACACACACCAAAGGGCGCCACATCCGCGTAAGGTAAATTGCAGGAGTAGCCCCCGGGGGTACAGCTATCTGTGTAAGATTTGATGGTATGTGTGAGAGAGGGAGTTCTGGGTGCGTTGATTATTTGAACCCGTCCATGATTACCACCGGAGGGGGGGATGTGAAGTGTAGGATTATCAGGAACAAAATCAAGCTCTTCACTGCGGATTGTGAATGCCATGAAGTTCTCGTATGTAGAACTTAGTAATAGCTCCCAGATCTCAATTATAAACGGAATCTGACTGATTTAAACAAACATCAAACCCCCCGATGGTTAGTTTATTGTGGGGAGGGTATTTTACAATGTTATATGATAGCGCCCTCTTAATAAAACGAAGAGTAACTCCTGCCCTCATCGGCATATCGTGTATGTAACGTTTCTAATCTACAAAATAATTTGTTTTTGTGCCCTCGAAGTAGTCAGTGTCCCTAAACAGTAACGTACCTTTACTAAAATAATATTGGGAGGTGCATGCACTGTTTGTCGGCGTGTTTGGTCCCAAATTTACTCTGAAATCTGTGTACACGGAGGATGTATTACCTGTCGTGTCCTGGAATCCCGATGACGTATGTGATACAAAGACCATTTACATGTTAGCATACAATTTTATCACTTTTTAAATATACCTGTTGCGAAGATTCAAATAGAATGAAATTTACGACATTCTAAAATATTGTTAACAAGTCGAAGTAAATGACTGTAATTATGGTGCTCTTTTCACACAGTAACTTTGACCAAATCTATATGGAAATACGTAATTGTCTTGGATCCACTATCGTCTTTCTATTCTGACCAGCTATCTTTATATTTTGATCTTTATATATTCATAAACCAGATTAGCAATGTATTGTTTTAATTGACTGTAATTTCGGAGTATTATGTCGAATTTGAAATAGCGTTCACTAGCTTCTCCAGCGTTCGCTGAAATAGCGTTCGATATACTAGCAGTCGCTTAAAGCGCGGTGGTCGTCGCGCAGCGCGTGTTCGAATTTCATGTAAATAAACATATTTTGCACGTGTTGTATACGTCGCTATGAGTCCCATATTGAACAAGACGCGGCACGACGACTGCCACGCTTTAAGCTTCACCCCAAGTCCTTCACACTGGTACGATTGATGGCTTCACTTTTTCATCCCTGAAACGCTGAATCAGGTTGCCTAGTTTCAACCTCATTTAAATATTCTAAATATTAGAATAAACAGACTCCGTCTTCCGGGAATTTTCTTGCTGAGAAATTACATGCGGGCGCATAACGGATGTAACATCGCGCCCTCCCTCGACAACGAATGACCAGATAATATAACGGCAGCCGAGCTCATAACGTTTGGTCACAATCACAAAGGCGTTTGAAGAAGTTTGAACAGAATATGACATTTGATCAGATCATTGTTCGTATGCAAATTAATAAACCTTCATGGTTATATTGATATTCAAATTATTAAACCATAATGTTATGTATATCACAAGCATTTGTAATTACTGTGCATGCGTGGTAAACGGTCTCCAGTTTGCTGACTGCAGTTTCTTCTTTCTCCATCAGTCAGGCAATTAAGCAGAAATACCCCCACTAGTTCCCTATGGCAGCAGTACAAGTAAAAATTCAAGCAAGACACATTTGATTGGACCGGAGTGAAACGTCACTCGTTTCAAAATGACGCCGATGGAGGAAAAGATTCGAGTTATATGTGGCAGCAAAAGCAGTAGGAAAAGGTTACACAAAACAAACGTTGTTCTTACATTGTGCCGGTCAAAGGGTACACGAAGTATTTGAGGGATTAACAGACCCAGGGCCACCCATACAAGCAGTACCAGCAGTCGATGCGAATGACAATGCGGCACCGGTTCACGACATAATAATTACCACTATTTTATAATTATAATTACCTCCATTTCGCGATTTTTTTTTATTTTATTGAAACTACAAAAAAAAAATAATCGCCCAGACTGCGCCAGCCTACACAGGCATATCAACAGATGGAACTGATAGATACGAGTAATGAATTGTTGAGAATAAATGCACATCGGGGATTATATTCGTATCAGCTTTTAACGTATGGAATAGTCGCAGTGCCAAGTTTATTTCAGGATATGATGGACTATTGTTAGTTATACAATTATTGTTAGTTATAAAATTAGAAAAATACTTAGGCCGTGTTGCAATATGGTAATAAACAACAGCAACAGGAAACCAATATAGGTCAATACAATTATATGCACATATAATTAGAAACAGGATGCACACCAGTAAATCTTACACATACGAAGATTCATGCTTACTACGAGTCTCGTCTCCGCCAGTATCACCATTTAGTCGTATTTAGGCTACCGAATGTAGTACGGGCTAAGCTTTTAAAGTGCGGCGGTCGTCGTGCCGCGTCCTGTTCGATATGGGACTCATAGCGACGTATACAACGCGTGTAAAATACATTGTTTATTTACATGAAATTCGAACACGCGCATGGAACAACAGCCAGTACGTTAACTATGATTACTTAGTACAGTATCCGGGAAGATATAACTGTTAGTTATATGGTTATAAAATAAAAACAATTTAAATTCATGTGTGAATATAACTTTCATATCCTACAAACTTAAGGGCGATGCCAACGGGCTGAAGTATGTCGCCAGTAAAATGCCACCAGTCGGATTTTCATCTACCGCAAGTGAAATTTCCAACAACAATTATTGGAAGTAGTAACAAGAAACAGGAAAAAAGTTAAATTTATTTATGCTTATGGAACCTTGTATTTAATGTTAAAGCGGGGGAGTCGTCACCTGCGCATGCGTCAGATGGCCATAGCGTGTCATTGTTTACAAACAAGCGGCTACCCATGAGCCTTTGGGTTTTTAGTGTGTGTTGTTATCGTCGCTTGGGACTCAATTCCCGCGCGCGCGCAGGTGTCGACACTCCCGCTTTAAATAAAAGATAAATTATTCTCAAAAAACACAGCTAACGTTGTGCCGCACGTTCACGTTACCCGGCTGAGCTACGGACCAAAGACAATATATTTAATTTGCATAATGATTGAAGCTGTTTAACGAATAAATCTTGCATAAATTTATTTGCCATCTTGATCAGGTTAGCATTCACTGCTGATGACAGTTTTCAGAATTTTTCCGTATTTACCAGACGGTCTACAACCTTTTCACGGAATAACTAGTTTCGCAGATTATACACTCTTATAATGATGAGGTATGCTGTCAATCATTTCGAATTATGGCCACAATATCGAGGGGCGTTCTATACCTTGAAATTTACATCATATTTAATGCGTGAAAACGACACCAATTGCAAAAGCGAAAATATACACATTTAGTAAATACATTTTATTTTAAACTATATTTTATTGATATATTATAAACATTCGATAACCATTGAGATAACACCGACACAAAATAGTTTAAAATAGTAGTCAAGGCAAACAACACAATGTCCCTGTATGAAAGAGATCTAAAAATGTAGGAAAATGTAATTTAAACTTTTTCTATTTCACTTTTCATTCTTTAGATATATTCAACTTTTCACCAGTATTATGTAGTCCACCACCTTGATTCTTCAGCAAAGCATTGTGGGTAAAGTATGACACCATAGTTACTGTTGTGAAAAATTGAGAAAACGATTTCATCTATAATTTGTAGTAAGGCAAATTAGTTCAAATTTTCGGTGTGCATATAATTATATTATTGGGAATTAGAATCAAGATGGTGGACTACATAATAATTATGTGACTACATATTAATTATGATGAATATAGTATATTCATGTACATAGAATTTTCTCCTGGCTCAACGCAATCGGTATCTTGTGTAACACTGAAAAAAAATGAAAAGCAACAAGTCTTATTTTTACGACTTGACGTCCTTGGTTCTTGTCTCATTACAAGAATTGTAAACTGGCTGCGCGTCGGTCGATACTTCCGCTGTATTGTCACCGTGCATCCTTTTATTTTGAAGCGATATACTTCATTGCACATAGCAGGTAAACTATTAAATTGGCCAATCAATGTATAATCATATTTTAAATTTAAATGCTCACATTAATTAAATTAAATTAAATTCAACATTACTTTTATCTATTTGTCACAATTCAAAATAAAAATATTAATGTTGTGTGTAAATGTCCATCAAACATCAATGAAATTGTTAGTATGTTTAGTGCCAGATAACCATAATGAACAATAAAGAAAGTAAAAATTGTTGATATCTTAGAATTTCATAATTACATAAGCAAGGATAAATAATGATTTAAAGCGGGAGGGTCGTCATCTGCGCACGTGCGGCAATTGAGTCCCAAGCGACGATAACAACACATGCTAAAAACACAAAAGGCTCAGGGGTAGACGCTTGTTTGTAAAAAAAAAATTGACACGCTATGTCCATCTGACGCATGCGCAGGTGACGACCCCCGCTTTAATGTCAGTATGTATGTATGTATGTATGTATCTCTCTCTATATCATTACGATAATAATAGACGTATGTGATTCTCTGTTCAACGGACATATGAGGCTGTTTAAGCGTGGACCACACTATGTTTACTTGCCACCATGAATAAATAATTATTGGCGTCAGCAAGGTGTTTCAAGTCTTCGCCACCACCTCCAACTTTGACACACTGTATGATAGAGAACCCAGCCTGTTTGTAAGCATTCCTGACTATTTCCTCTGTTGTCGTGAGTGCATGGAAACTTGCATCTCCAACGTTGTAGAAATTACCACCTAACCGTCCCCAGTGAACCACCACACCACCAGGTTTCAATAGTGAAGCCACGGACTTAACGCTGTTCCTAAACGATGCGATATCAGCGCATGCCATTTCTAGACAACTAGCAACAATGATACCATCGAACGTGTCATATGTAAATGGTTCCAATGGATTAGACTTCAAGACATCACAGGGGACAACGTCTGTTATTTTCTGACGAAGCATTTTTTTGAATTTCTTTCCAATCCATGCTATAAATTGATAAAAAACAATATTACAATATACAAATCCCGATATGTCCAATCACAATCGACATTGAGATCACGTGATACCAATAAATTCTTAGTTGTATTGTAGGCGCAAAGCTATCATAGCATTAAATAATGTTGTCGTGCATTGACGATTATATTCAAGGCAAATGAAAATGTGATGTTCAGACCCCTTCGAATTCCTTTCATCGGTGAGTGACTTTTTAAAAACATTTTGAACATGTATGTTCAAAACGTATTAGAAATTAATTGTCATAATTTACGCCCTCTAGCGCTTCTGTTGCTTAAAATGATGTAAGACGCCGCTTATTGTAGTTTACCAATAAGAACAAAAACATTTTCTATATTAAAAATTACAACTAAATGTTGTAATATTTCAGTAGGCATATAATATGAGGTTATTGCGAGGATACGTCAAAGTATGCACGAAGACAGTACAGCGGATGTACTGTCTGAGTGCATACTTTGAGGTATTCTCGTAATAACATCTTTTTCTTCCAAGAATACAACATAGGAATGCCGAAATCCAAAATGTTTAGAACAGAATCCGCGAACTTCTTCGTGTGAAGTCCTGGTGGCAGCCATGTTTGTTTTTATTTTTAGAGGATGCTTATGCGCGTAATCATTCCATATTTGGAATTCGTATTTCCTAATATGGTAAGATGAAAATACCCCGTAAAATACTGCAAAATTAAGGCACGCTGTAACTTATGGCTTTACGGTGACAGATGTATAATAATAACTTTTATTTTATTGGTAATTAGGCCTCTGTCGCATTATAATTTAAGTGTTTATATAATTCTTAGAAAAAGAAAATAAATTATAGTAATAATAAAATACATACTAATAATTTTGGTGAAGAGAGTACAATTGAACAAATTCATTATTTAATTTTATATCAAGCAGAACTATGGATGAATGTGTTCAAAATAGCACTATACAGAATAGAAGTAATCGACGCATGCGACAAATGTTTAACAATAATTTGTATTAGTAAATTCACACACGAGTCCTAATACCTTGAAATTGTCGCCATCTTACTTTATATGAGACCCAAATATCTCGCGCATGCGTGGCGTGATGACTACTACGTTGAGTTAATATAAATGTAAATTCAATCATATACAATGCAACAGTCCTTGTTTAATTTAAAAAAGTGGGAGTGAACTGATGGATTTTATGACGCAAAAAAGACTGCATTGGTTTCGGGTTAACGTGAATAATAAAAATGCACATTCATTCACTTATAACAGCGCACTAACTTAACTTACTAAATACAATGTGTCGATCGATAATTTCATAGAACAGACGTGACACTGACCTATTTCCAATCATATCAGTGACAAACTTGAAATGACGAGACCAATCATACGCATCTTCTCGATTCTCAATCCATTTACGCACTTCCTCTCTACACGAGGCTGTGTAATCAGAGAATACGATCTCTGAGAAGTGCGTAGTGGCTGCAATAAGACGATATATAGCTGGCCCTCTGCCAAGCTCCAATAATCGTTCACCTTTGAAAAGACCTATATGTGAAATATTGCAGTTTAGTATAATTGGTGTAAGGGGTTATTTATACTATTGGTCATGTTGGCGAACTATATAGAGCTGGTCACACACTCACTGAACAAGAACATCACGCCACACATTGCAATGATACTGGCCAATCCCTAGACGAATTAAATGGTATATATCATTGTTTCAGTAATTAATGCAAAGGAATTATGGCGTCCACCCTTCCGCGGATCAACTCAATTTAACACGTGACATAACTTTCATATAGGGTCTACCACCAATCTCCAAAAAAATTTAACCATTGAAAAGACCTGTACGCAAAATGAAGCGAGTCGAACCCCCTAAATTTTGGAAGTGAATAGATTTATGATCGTAGATTAGAACATAATAAAACAAACAGTATTAATTAAAATAATTATCATTGTTTAAATCACTTGATATAACTATCAGAGTAATGTAATGAGTAATGCATAGTAATGAGCATTCAGGTGGCAACGAGCTTTAAATGTCAATCGTGAAGTTATGCCGTCTCAGCTCAACAGCAGCCAACCCAAACCGGTTGTTATAAATAGGCAAGCTTTTATACGGTTTTTCCGCGATGGTGTAATGAAGATCGCGTTCAAGCACCTGATGTTAATATTAAAACAACAATGACAATAATGTAATGGTAGTCACTATCTGAATGATGTGGTGGTTCTGAATAGGGCAGTTTGTCTTGTGCTAATGTTCGCTCAGTTAGTAAAGTGTAGGGATCGAACGGGATTGACACAACACGACACTGTACTTTCCTAGTTTGGTTCATTAGCTTTGTATTCTTCAAGTTAATGATGGCATATATACTGTTTTGTTCCGAGTGTATCAGCCAAATGTAGTCAACTTATTGTATTAGTATGTGTAGCCTCTGTCATTGGACAATAGTGTACAGCTAAGGGTTGAACATATCATTAAAAACATGCCGAAGATTTATCATCACGAGTTGTATAGGTCGAAGAGCTTCTTGTAGCCAACAATTTACCCTACAGTTTTTCTTCAGCACAGAAACTATGCGATGAATCATAAATTGCAAACATATTTTTTTTACACGTTTTTTTTTGATATCTCAGAAAATTTACTATATTTTTAATGGGTTCATAAAAGGAGTTGAAGTCATTGAAGTCTATTGACACCGCTGCTAAACTGCCACTGTATGCATATTATTTTACCGCCCTCTAAAAACAAATTTACAGTGAACCAAATATTTTTACATACTGTAAGAAACTTGGTAGTATGCCATTGGTTAGTGCATTTAATTTGTTTGATGCAATCATTGTGCCAACTATTTCTTATGGTAGCGATATGGGGGTACAGATAACATTTTGCAGATATATACCCGGTACTTAGCATTAATAGTTGTACAAACAATGTAGCGATGTTAGACGAATGTGGAAGGCTGCCATTGTGCTGTGGTTATTTCAAGCGTTGTATCTCATATTGGTTAAAATTACTGAAACCCCAAAACATGTTATATCATGCTTAAACGATTAGACAAGACCGGCAGACTTGCTTGGGAAACCCACATAAAAATCTCCTGTTCAAATATGG